GTTGTAGCACAAGATAATTAGTGTGAGGACCATTTTCATTTATATAGTGTTCTGTGAACACAAATTAGTTGGCATAAATCAGTTAAATAACGAAAAATTAGGTGTCTATTTACTTGTGACCACTCAGTGTATGTCTTTGTATAGAATTATATGAATGGCCGTTTCTTCCCCTAGTTGCTTGGAGAATGGAATTGTTGAATAGGACGTGTGACTGTAAGTCTTATCTTGGTGAATCCGTACCCTGCGAAGAGCCTTCTCGATTATGTTGTATACTGTTGTCTTGGACACGTGGAAGGCTTTCACGGTTTCTCATCTATTGCTTACCACGGCTGGGGTATGACTTGTTGCAGGTCTCTTTCTTGATGGGCCTGGTGACCCAAATTGACTCACATTTTCTTGTTTTCCAATGCCCCACGCTTCGTATTGCTGGCGCACAAAAATATAGCTAATGAAAAGGAAAAAAAAAGGTCTCATAGATTAATTTACTCTAATCCTGCATAAAAGAATTTCAAGCGCTGCGGCTATTGAGAATTTCCTCTTGTTTTGTATGAATACTTTTTTTGGAAAGAGCAGTCACATTTACAGTGTGCTTTTTTCTTAATTGAATTACAACGCTAAAATCCCAGGTTCTATTCCCCGCGGTGGACACATCAGATAGCCAAATGTGACTTTGTCTTAAAACAAACGAACAAGTTTTCGTAATGTAAACAGAGGTTATAACATTTTCAATTCTCTTTGGCAGCCATTCTGGAAAAATGACCTTGACCTTTCACAAATGACATTGAATCCTAAGTTGTGTGATTTTCATTTCACTTCCATTGAATTCCTGGATGTCTAAAATATCACACATTAGTTTCATATCATCAATCAATACTGTGTAGATCAGCAGTAATAGTGAGATTTATAAACTGTTGTTGAAACTGGTTACACTTTATGACTAACGAATATATTAACAATTCCTTATTGATCTTCTGAAGTGAATCACACTAAAAAAACATTTTGGCTAATGATTTACAACTTTGCATAATATATGAGATAAGCTTCGGTACAATGCTTAATTATATTCATTTGAGACTTTCATAGTTGTTATTATTTTTCAACATAACTCTAAATGAATGAAAATATAAAACAGGTAGTTTTGTTCACTCCTTTATCACTCTCTTTATTCAGTAAAAAATTATAATATCGCTTGCGAAGAATTAGTTGCTTAGGTTAATACTCTAATGGATAAAACATATGGTTTATATATTGTTTGTTTGTTTTGAATTTCGTCGTCAAAGCTGCACGAGGGCTATCTGCGCTAGCCGTCCCTAATTTAGCAGTGTAAGACTAGAGGGAAGGCAGCTAGTCATCACCACCCACCGCCAAC